TGACGCCACTCCTCCAAGGCAAGCTTCACAGCCAGCAGCTCACGGTTCCCTATGTCGTAATTGCACTCAGAGGGGGACAACCGACGTGAGAAAAAGGCACAGGGATGGAGCTTCCTATCCTCCGCAGCCCACTGAGAAATCACAGCACCAACTCCCACATCCGAGGCGTCCACCTCCACAATGAATTGCCGGTCCACATCAGGCATCTGGAGGATGGGAGCGGAGGTGAACCTCACCTTGAGGGTACTGAAGGCTTTGTCGGCTGCTGGGGTCCAGGTGAAGGGTTGCTTGGTGCTGGTTAGAGCAGTGAGAGGGGCAGCAACGGTACTGTAGTTCCGGATAAACTTTCTATAGAAGTTAGCAAACCCCAGAAACTGTTGCAGCTTCTTTCTGTTCTCCGGAACTGGCCATGAAGTGACTGCTGATACTTTGGCAGGATCCATTTGGATACTTCCCTCTGCCACTATGTACCCCAGGAAGGCCACTGTCTTGACGTGAAACTCACATTTCTCTGCCTTGGCGTAGAGGGAATTCTCCAGAAGACGATGAAGGACTTGCTGGACATGGCGGGTGTGTTCAGACAGGTTTCTGGAGTAGATTAAGATGTCATCCAGGTAAACGAAGACAAACTTGTTTAACATGTCCCGCAGTACATCATTCACTAGAGCCTGGAACACAGCAGGAGCATTGGTGAGGCCAAAAGGCATAACCAGATACTCGTAGTGGCCTGTTGGTGTATTGAATGCGGTTTTCCATTCATCTCCCTCCCGGATCCGCACTAGGTGGTAAGCGTTTCTGAGATCCAACTTGGTAAAAACAGTGGCTCCCTGGAGCAACTCAAAGGCAGAGGTGAGCAGAGGCAGAGGGTAACGGTTCTTCACTGTGATGTCGTTGAGTCCCCTGTAGTCGATGCAGGGGCGAAGAGATCCGTCCTTCTTCCCCACAAAGAAGAAGCCAGCACCAGCAGGAGATGAAGATGAACGGATTAATCCTGCGGACAGAGAGCCATTGATGTAGTCCTCCATGGACTTTCTTTCAGGAGCAGACAACGAATAAAGACGACCCTTTGGAGGGGCTGTTCCAGGGAGGAGGTCGATGGCACAGTCGTACGGTCGGTGAGGGGGCAGAGATGTGGCTCTTGCTTTGTTAAACACCTCTCTGAGACCATGGTAGCATTCTGGGACATTGGAGAGGTCAGGAGCGGAGTTAGTAGGTACTGGCCGAGGGGGTAGTGCGGCAGCAAGCAGGCAGGTTCGGTGGCAGTCCTCTCCCCACTCCCTGATCACCCCGGTCACCCAGTCGAGCTGAGGGTTGTGCCGGCGGAGCCATGGGTAACCCAGGATGAGGGGTTGGCCTGGAGAGGGGAGCAGGTGAAACTGGATAGTTTCTTGATGGTTTCCGGACAGACCCATCGAGACCGGGGCCGTGACATGAGTGACCGATCCGAGTAAGTGTCCGTCCAGTGCCCGGGCAGGAATAGGAGGTGTCAAACGGAGGTTCTCCAGTCCCAGTTGGCGTGCCAGCTTGATGTCCATTATGTTGGCTTCGGCGCCAGAATCCACCAGAGCAGCCAGGGTGTGAGTTGAGTCAGAGAGGCGGAGGTGAACTTGCAGCAGGGGTTTGCGGTCGGAGGACTGGATGGTCATTGAACTCAACCGGACTCCCCCTTGCCCGGTGAGCTTCGGCCCTTTAAAGGGCAGGTTACCACACGATGTCCATCACCTCCACAATAGAGGCAGAGGTTTGAGGTGAAGCGGCGCTGGCGCTCTGCAGGAGTGAGAGAGGCTCGCCCAATCTCCATAGGCTCAGACTGATCAAGCTGACCTGGGTGAGTGGCAGTAGATGACAGGAGCCCAGTCGGATCTCTCCGAATGCCGGTAGTAGGTGGACCTTGGCGCCCCCTCTCACGACGACGGGTCTGTATCCTTCTGTCGATCCTGACAGTCAGTGCGATGGCTTCATCAAGAGTGGAAGGCAGTTCATGGGAGACCAACTCGTCCTTGATATAGTCAGCCAAACTATGGAAGAACGCGTCCACCAACGATGGTGTGTTCCAAGAACTTCGTCTAGCCAGGGTTCGGAAGTCGATGGAATGGTCTGCGACTGTACGTCTGCCTTGTCGAATACTGAACAGTTCACGAGACGCCTCTGCGGTTGGTGAATCCAGGTCAAACACCTTCAGCATCTCCTCAGCAAACAGGTCGAAGGTTGCACATGCGGGGGTTTGACGTTCGAACTCTGCTGTTCCCCAGAGTCGAGCTCGGCCCGTCAGGTGAGTGATGGCATACCCAACTTTAGCCCCCTCCGTGGCGAAGGTCCTTGGCTGCAAGGAGAACTGAAGTCGGCAGCTAGTCAGGAATGGCCGGACCTGGGTTGAATCGCCGTTGAACCGCTCGGGGTTTCCAATCTTGGGTTCCGGAGCAGCGGCTGCAATGACCGGGGCAGGTAACTCGGGGGCAGGGCTGGTGGGCAGACTGGCTGGGGTAAGGTTGGTGAGGAGTTGAATGATCATGGCGAGTTGTTGTTGCTGCTGCTGGAACTGCTGCTCATGCTCATCGGTTTCCATGTCGGGGAAAGTGTGCGCTGAGTCCATAATGGTCAGATCGTACTGTCACGGTTCAGACAGACGACCAGAGGACCACAATTGCGTCACACCAGAAAGTTTATTAAAACTTAAGGGAAAAGGGAAGTAGGGAGTGAATGAAGGCTCCAGGGGTAACAGGGATCCCGTCCAATGTGCTGGGTCTGTGCCCCCCCCAGTGGCAGCGATGCGTCCTATGAAGCCGGTGGTGGGTGGTCCAGAAGTCCTGGGGGGGGGAGACACAGACACAACAGGGCGGAATGAAACAAGGCAGCAGTACAGTTCAAGGGAAATCCAAAATACGTAGTAGCAAGGCAGAAGGCTGGTCAGAGTTACCGGGATAGAAGAGTAGTCAGGAGTCGTAATGGCAGAAGCAGGTCTGGATCTCCTGGGGCAGAAGAGTATCCAAAAATCAGGCAGGTCCGGGGTCACAAAACCAGGGTGAGCCAGAAGCGCGAGCAAACAGGTTCCGGGTGTGAGCTTTGCAGACGATCTGACACCGGAGAGCTGAAAGACAGGGCCTTAAATACTGGGAGAGGTAGTGGGTAATGCAGCGCAGCTGGCAGAGTAATTAGAGCAGAGCAGAGCAGGGACAGGTGGAGCTAGTTAGGCTGAGTAGAGAGAGTGGTGAGCAGAGTGGAAGAAAATAAAGGTGGTAACCCGGTGGAGTGAGAGGCTCATGACAGACACAACTGTGGGAAGCATTGGAGTCAACATCGGCCAGCATCCCTGTGGAACGCTTTCGACACCTTGTAGAGTCCATGCCCCGACGAATTGAGGCTGTTCTGAGGGTAAATAGTGGGGGTGCAACTCAATATTAGGAAGGGATTCTTAATGCTTTGTACACTCAGTGGCCAGTTTATTAGGTACACCACACCGTTCACGAAAATGGTTCGCTCCTACAGACAGTGAGTCACGTAGCCGTGGCTTGCTATACAAAGCAGGCACACAGGCATGGAGGCATTCAGTTACTGTTCGAACAAAAAACATCCAGTCAGAGGCAGTCCTCTGGGCGAAAACAGCTCGGTGATGAGAGGTCGAAGGAGAATGGCAAGAATCGTGCAAGCAAACAGGTGGGCCACAAACAGGCAAGTAAGATGGGTATACTCTTAGCAAGGAATTTGATGGTGATATTTGGGACGTGTCACTCAACAAGTTTGTCAATATTAGGGACGTGTGCCATTTTGTCAATCTTACTCTCAGTCTTCCCGATAACTTCAAATAAATCTTTGCTACTTCTTTCACCCAAAAAATTAAACTGATTCAATGAACTCCAAATGGCAGTTTATTTTATTGTTGTACTTTCCCTCAATAACAGACAGTCCCCTCCCTGTCTGCTCCAAATTAGCTCTCCATTTCATTATTTATTTATCTTTCATGCCCTTCTCCCCATCGATTTATCCTCTTTCTCATCGCTGTATCGTTTCTTCCACGCTCGTCATGTCTCATTTCTCAGTCTGTCAGTCTCATCACAGTGGCATCAGTCTAATCTCACTGTTCCAGTTTTACCACCAGACACTGTCTGTCAGTAAGTCTCCATCTTCTCCAAACCCTCCTCCTTCTATCTTCTATCAAACACATATGCGAGCTAAGCTTTAGAGCTAAGCTTTCCTAAAGTGAAACAGTTACTTCCATGTGTTAGAATAGTTAGACGAATGTAAACCAGTCCATCCTCAAAATTCCTTCCTATGTGATCTCAAAGCTTATAGACATCTGCTATGCTGTATGTTAGTGTAGATCAGTTTGTGTGGGAGAAGTGTGGTTTCACAATAAGAGTAGACTGACAGAAGTGACGATTGTCATCCTCTGCTAATCGCTACTCTTAGCTATCCAGCTATCGGATCTATCTCGTACAGCCTCTATCATAGCTTTCATTGTCTCACTGATGTATCACCCACTATTGTCTAATCTGTCTGGAGATGTACTAGTTACTTTTGTCTGATGGACTTGTACTTTGACTTTGCCCGATAAGAGTGCTTGAGAAATGAATAGAAGAATGTGTGATAGATACTGTGGGACAGGGTTTGTGCTGTGTTATATTATGTCTGTTTGTGGAGTGGAGTTGGACTTATGCAGAGTCATAGCCACAGAGTATTACAACTCATATGATTGATGGATGCAGCCTAGTACCCCTCATTAGCTGTTCTTTGGTGTACCATATGAGATATTATAGCTGGTGTGTGACTATGTGTTTTCGATCTCTCTGCCTTTCTATCTGTATATCATAAGCTGTCAATAAATTGTTTGACCATACTGTCAAGTTGTATTCGTCATTAGGTTATAGATGCAGTATAACTTAATATTGATGTCTGTACCATATTGTGACTGTACCCTCATGTCTCTCCGCTGTACGGTGTCCATATTAGGACAGCCTCAGTACTGTGCTTCTGGTTGTTGTATTCATCTCTGGATTTTTCTCTCTCTCTCTCAGAGCTTGTCCAGAATGGCCGTCTTCTGTCCCTGCCCCTGGCGGCGGGGGACATGCACTCTCTGCTGCCAGACGAAGATGGCCGCCGGCTCTACGTGGCCATGAAGGACAACCTGCTGTCCACCAGCCTGGACGACATCTCACAGAACCCCCACAAGGTCAGACTGCCCGGCTCTCTATAGGCTTCTCACGCATAGGGGCTTTTCACACTACTGAGCCCAATCGAGCCCAACTAAACCAAGCTGCACTGAGCTGTCCTGGTGACACGTCCACCATAGTTGTTGGAACTTTGTTGAAAAAGGCGATGTGAAAATCGATTATCCAAACCACAGTTTGGCTCTGGTCTGCATGATAGTGTGAAAAGGGTAATAGATTCAATACAATAACATTAACACATTCATTCATACAGCTACACTCAGTAAGGAAAACTGAAAGGAAAACTGTAACTCAGAAAACCTTGTGAGAGAAAGAAGGGGGTGGATGAATGTCACAGTCACTGTGTGTTGTCCAGTGTGCATGGCTAATGTAATGTAGGGGATAATTAAGCTCAATTTGATGGTAATGAGAATACAGAGGAGGAAGCCATCTCCAGCTGTCCAGCATCCCTTCCTCTTTCCATTAAGCCCCCTGTGTCTCTCAACCACTCTCTTTCAGACAAACACTCATTCTAATAAACAAAGATCCACACACACTCTGTCCACCTCTCTACTGTGTGTACCCATGGCCACTACCAGTCATATCCTCATTTCTCTCCTTTTCCACTTCCTCTCTCTCAGACTCTCATTCTAATACACATAGACACACATTTATACAGGAACTCTCTCATACAATCTCTCCCAGACAGAAGTAGCACGTAGTGTATAAGTGAGGGTTTCATTCACCCCTGTTCCCATTTCTGCCTGGCAGGAGATTGGGTGGAGCCATGAGCCCTCTAATAAAGCTATCCTCTGATCAACCAACCCCTGAGGCATTCCTACTGCATGAGTCCCTCACCACCAGCCCACATCACTCAAACTGACTGAAGAGCTGTGTGTGTGTGTGTGTGTGTGATCACTCTCTCCACCATTCCATTTATCCATGCCCACTACCAGTCATATCCTCCTTCTCTTTTATTAGATGTTTTCTCTCCCTACCACATTCAAACCCCCCAGTTCCTTTTCGGTAGATTACTAATTGAATTGCATGTTGCACAGGGATTAGTGTAGTGTCTATGCATTTCCATATCTTTGTCCATGTGACAGAGCATATACATTTTTTTCAGCTGCCAATGTATAAAACTCCCATCCAAGAAATGTTATTTGTCACAGATGGTTGATTTATATAAGGTTGTTTTTCACAGTGAGAACTATGGGGGTCTCTCATTCTACTCCTCCCTCTGGTATTCAGTGATAATGAAAACATCTTTATCTTATCACATGATCTCTGCTACGGTCCCTAAATGACTAACTCAGTGAACATGCTATGGAGGTTAGTCATCTATGGTGGCATGATACCGGCTAATCATGGTGGCATGACAACTATACTGGCTCTTCCTCTTTCAGCTCTACTGGCCAGCAAGTCCAGACCGTGTCCAAGAGTGTTTGATGGCTGGAAAGGACCGGGAGGTGAGTGGTTATGGTGTAAACACACAACACACACACACACACACACACACACACACACACACACACACACACACACACACACACACACACACACACACACACACACACACACACACACACACACACACACACACACACACACACACACACACACACACACACACACACTCACAAAATCACACACACACTCACACACTCAAACACACACTCACACACGCACACACTCACACACACACACTGTGCTAACTTCTAGTCTCCCCTACAGTTGGAGTGTGCTAACTTCCTGCGGGTACTGCAGCCCTACAACCAGACCCACCTGTATGTGTGTGGAACGGGAGCCTTCAACCCTCGCTGTGCCTTCATCCCCACCAACACCTTCCTCAAGGTAAAATCACACACACGCACACGGAAACACACATGGACACGCACTCCCACAGACACACACACAAACACACACACACACTCCGTCCTTACCCACTCCAACCCCTCGATTGGTTGAATTAGGTGTTTTAATGATTTTAGCCCAACATGTGCACACCCAGAGTGGTTTGAGAACCACGCTCTACTGATGCCTATCTCAAGCTTTCCCTCTCTATCTGTCCTATAGCAATAAATCCTATATCTGTGTGTATATCTATCTGACTATAGGTCTAGCTGTCTACCCCTATAGCTGCGCTATCTGTAGGTATACCTATGTGTACTGTACTGTGTACCGCTATACCCTGATACCAGCCTATCCTATCTGTCTCTGTGTGTTTACCACGTGTCTAAACAATTCTTAGCTAAACTCCCTCCCTCCCTCCCTTCCTCCCTCCCTCCCTCCCTCCCTCCCTCCCTCCCTCCCTCCCTCCCTCCCTCCCTCTCTCTTCCTCTTTCTCGCTTTCTTCTTTCACCTTCTCACACACTATTCTTTTCACCCCACTCTGGTCCCCAGTGTGCTGGTGTCTGTGTTTCTGAGAGAAGGTACTAAACCCATGAAAGGGTTTACCTCCCTCACATTGCATTTTACAAAATGTTCACCCAAATATTTACAGCGATTACTACCTCATTAATCTATACAAGTCTGGGAAAGTTTCAGAGCTGTACTGTACATTAGTTATGTGGCAGTGTGTGTGTGTGCATGCGTGTGCACACTGTGTATAATGTGTTTATTCAATTCTGTTTATTTGGCAGTCAGAGCGACAAACTCTGTCATTTGGAGAGACTGAATGTGGGAAGGGAAAGTGTCCATACGATCCACACCAGAAAACTGCCACAGCCGTTATTGGTAAGACCACGACAGTATGTCTGTGAGTAAGTGTCTTGTGTGTGAGTAAGTGCACAATAATACAAGGACCTGTTTGCTGTCCTTAAAGGTGAATGTTGATGTATAATGTGTGTTTATATGTGCTGTTCTATAGGGTAGGCCCATATAGTATGGTGGATAATGTGTTTGTCTGCTTTCGTGTACAGATGGCGAGCTGTATGCTGGGATCTCATCCGACTTCATGAGTCGAGACTCGGCCTTCTTCCGCAGCCTGGGCAGTCGTCATGTGATCCGCACCGAGCAGTACGACTCCACCTGGCTGCAGGGTAAGGAACTTAATCTCAGCGTTTGTAGCGGGTGATTTGGACGGAGTCAGACGCAGGAGGGTAAATCACAGAATAAATGGTTTATTCGGTAAGACAGTGGTACTCAGCAATGCGTAAAACACTCCAGTGCGGTAAATACGGCGCACTGGAGAAAACAAGGCACACGGGTGAAAATCCCGGCGATAAAAGATACAATACAGCTCCACCGAGCTATAGTGACCTCCACAATAAACAATCACACACAAAGACAAGGGGGGGCAGAGTGAATACTTATACAGGTACTAATGAGGGGATATGAACCAGGTGTGTGTAATAAACAAGACAAAACAAATGGAATGATGAAATGAGGAGCGGCAGTGTCTAGAAGGCCGGTGACGACGAACGCTGAAGCCTGCCCGAAGGAGAGGAGGCAGCTTCAGAGGAAGTCGTGACAGCATTCTAGGATTCTGTAGGAACCTCTCCATAGGCTTGATCAAACAATAAAAACTGAATCATTTCTGTTCATTCTCTCTTTCACTCTTACTTATCACAATGTTTCCTCTCATTCTCTGGCATTTGTTTTCTTTCTCTTTCACTCTCTCTCTTTCTATTGTTCTCTCTCATTTGTAAACTCTCCCTGCTCTCTCTTTCTCTCTCTCTCCCTCTTTCCTTCTGTCTAAATTGCAAACTCTCTCTCTCTCCCTCTCTCTCTCTGTCAGATGCCCAGTTTGTTAAGGTGGCCTCGATGGCGGAGACTGATAACCCAGAGGATGACAAGGTGTACGTGTTCTTCACTGAGCGGGCTCAGGAGGCAGAGGGGGCAGCTGGGAAGGTGCTGTACTCCCGAGTGGCGCGTGTCTGCAAGGTAAGATCTCTACGTGCCTGTGTGTGTCTACTGGTACTGACGTGTGTTGGCATTACACGGGCATATGCACTTGTAGACTTGTGTGTTTATAGATGTGCCTGTCTGTGTGTTTCTTTATCTTTTTTCTATCATAGTTGCTGTCTATGTCGATCATGACATCTGTTCTAATCTGTACAGAATGACATTGGTGGCCAGCGGAGTCTGGTGAACAAGTGGAGCACCTTCCAGAAGGCACGTATAGTCTGCTCCGTCCCTGGATCCGACGGGATACAGACTCACTTTGACCAACTACGTGAGTATCAACTACAGTATGGTCCTCTGTAGCTCAGCTGGTAGAACACGGCGCTTGTAACGCCAAGGTAGTGGGTTCGATCCCCGGAGCCACCCATACACAAAAAATGTATGCATGCATGACTGTAAGTCGCTTTGGATAAAAGCGTCTGCTAAATGGCATATTAACTATCAACTTTACCTCACTCTCACTGACCAGTGACCACACACATGACCATAAGTTCACCGTCCATAACCATGAATACACAAAGTGAAGCATACAGACAATCATCCTAAAGTACAACAGACATACCATATGTCTTCAATAGTATTCAATCTCAATAAGACAGCAGTGGGGGGGGGAGTGAATGTTGTACAGACTATATAGGCGCCGAAGCAGCTATGGTAGTGAAGATTCTATGCTTGGTCAACAGAAGGCCCAGTGTTTGATCATGCAGCCAGTATAACTCCACTCCACCCCACCCTGGCTTGTGGTATTCCACTCTGTTACCACAGTGACCAGCAGCCCTGTCCCTTTACCCTGCTCTGCCTCTGTAGTACTTCAGCCCTGGTCGCCCAGGCAACAGCTCTGAAGTATCTTAGTGTCTATTAGAGAGGATTCAAGAGTCTGGCACTGTCCTTCTGCTGTTTCATCTTCTGTTTTTCAATCACAGGGTGATTAGTGTGTGTGTGTGCGCATGTGTGTGTTATGTTTAAGTACACTATCAGTCAAAAGTTTGGACACACCTACTCATTCAAGGGTTTTTCTTTATTTGTACTATTTTTTACATTGTAGAATAATAGTGAAGACATCAAAAATATGAAATAACACATATGGAATCATGTAGTAACCAAAAAAGTGTTAAACAAATCAAAACATATTTTATATTTGAGATTCTTCAAATAGCCATCCTTTACCTTGACGACAGCTTTGCACACTCTTGGCATTCTCTCAACCAGCTTCATGAGGTAGTCACCTAGAATGCATTTCAGTTAACAGGTGTGCCTTGTTAAAAGTTAATTTGTGGAATGTATTTCCTTCTTAATGCGTTTGAGCCAATCAGTTGTGTTGTGACAAGGTATACAGAAGATAGCCCTATTTGGTAAAAGACCAAGTCCATATTATGGCAAGAACAGCTCAAATAAGCAAAGAGAAATGACAGTCCATCATTACTTTAAGACATGAAGGTCAGTCAATAAAGAAAAACCCTTGAATGAGTAGGTCTGTCCAAACTTTTGACTGGAAGTGTATGCACTCTGTCATCGCTGGTTATATAGGCCATGGTGTATCAGTAAGTGATGTGATCAGTAGCTGGCCTCACTGAGAGCGAGACAGAGAGACAGGACCAGTCCCTTATCACATCTATCTTTGTGAAGACAACCAGACAGTAGAATAAACAACCTGAGCCCTACTTCACCCCCCTCCTTCCTTCTCTCTGGGGTTATACTGAGGCAAAGTCAACTACACACATTATGACACACATATGCACACGCAGACACACGCACGCCCACACACACACACACACACACACACACACACACACACACACACACACACACACACACACACACACACACACACACACACACACACACACACACACACAATGACACACATCCCTTTCTGTCCAACCCAACATGTCTCACCCAGGACAGTGAGTAGTAGGATGAACATAAACATCCCCACACAACAACCTGCCCCGGGACACGTTGCAGCTGAAAAGATCATCAAAGATCATCAGCCCAAGAATGCCGCCGGTGTTTTGTTTACGCCATGCTCCGTCGGCCAGAAACACTACGAATCCCATGAGCGCCTGGTGTGTGTCCGGGTCCCTCATGGTGGAGGAGTGGACACAGTCTGAGTCAGGTTGTTATCTATGCCGGAACTTCAACAGGAATATTTGAGCTGAACTTGTGTGAGCTTTAACAAGAGCCACTATCCTGGCAGGTCATCTCTGTTTGTACAGGTGAAAGGGATCGTTTACAGTGTGGAGTACTCAACCATCAACACTTACTAAATACATTAGTTTCTAATCCTACAGTCAGAATAAAGTGGTTCCAACTGTAGTCTTGGATTGAAAGCTTATGAGAGACATGGTTAGCAAAACTCTTAGAGTATCAGAGTTTAGTAGAAATTGTATGGATATAAATATAGCCCACTGGGCACAGACATCAATTCAACGTCTATTCCACGTTGGTTCAACGTCATTTCATTGAAATGACGTGGAAACAATGTTGATTCAACCAATGTGTGCCCAGTAAGAGAAACATGTAAACATTTGAAGGGTGTAATTGGTCAGAATCCCATAAACAGAATTCACTGCTATGTTGTTGTGTTGTTATTCAGGACAGTCATACCATGGGTTTGGACCAGGAGACACTAACTGTTAGACCACATAGTTGAGGTTTGAACACTTCGGTCCTGAAGCAGAGGACAACGAGGTCTAGATTTCAGTGATTTAGAGGAAGTTCCTATGTGTGTGTGTGTGTGGCCAGGTATGCAAGACATAACCCACATCCTAGTCCCTAGATAGCCCAACTCTGATGCGGGAAAAGGAGTGAGAAGGAGGAGTGAAGAGGAGGGGTGAGGAGTTGAGGAGAAGGGGTCGTTTTTTGGGATAAGGCTGGGGCGGATAGGGGCTGGAGCCTGAGGGGTGTGGGCCAGACAAGGATATCTACCCTCCAGGGGAACAGATCCCTTTGTTTAGAGGAACTGACACAAGTAGGGTCCTCAGGAGAGAAAATTAGAGACACAGAGAGAAAGGGAGAGAGGGAGAGAGGGAGAAGGAGAGAGAGAGAGAACGAAAGAGAGAGAGAGAATGAGAGAGAGAGAATGAGAGAGAGAGAGGGAGGGAGGGAGGGAGGGAGAGAGAGAGAGAGAGAGAGAGAGAGAGAGAGAGAGAGAGAGAGAGAGAGAGAGAGAGAGAGAGAGAGAGAGAGAGAGAGAGAGAGAGAGAGAGAGACAGAAACAGAGACAGAGAGACAGCCAGCAGTGCCTCCGCAGCATGGTGTACCCAAACTCCTCTGCTGTGTGTTGTGCCCTGGGCTATGCGGCGGCGTGTGTGTGTGTGTGCAGTGGTGTGTGTGTGTGTGTGTGGGAGGTAAGATTAGATTCCCACCAGACTGATCCCATCAAGGCCACCTGAAGCAGCAGGAACGAGAGGAATGTGAGAATACTTATACGCTTCACTATGTCCCACACCACAACTACAAGCCCACCATACATACTGTCTGTATGCTAGCGTGTGTGTCTGTTAGTCCGTTTGTGTGTTTGTGCATGCATTCTTGTGTACGTGTGTGCATGTTTGTGTGTCGCATCCAGTATGTCTGTGTGTACTGTGGGTTCATGTAACTGTGTATACATAGACTTCGCGTGCATACATATCAATTTCTTGTTTGTGTACATGTACATGTGTCATATATTTGGTCAGTGGTTGATCTGTGTCATGGGGAGGGGAGGGATGGTGGACAGTGTGGGGCCATAGAAGACAGAGAGGCAGAGAGGCCTAGCTAAATGGCAGGGGAGGGCTGCTATAGGAGGATTGGTCATGGAGGATCAGCTCGTCTCCAGCTCTCACACTGAGATGGCATATTACTGCCTGGGATTCATTAGGTTGGCCCACTCAGCCGTACCACCACACCAAACAGCATTAGTCACGCACACACAAATAGGAACACACTTGTACACACTCACACACACACATAGGAACACACTTGTACACTTGCTCGCTCACATGCAAGCACACAAGCATGCTCGCATGCTCACACATACATACGCACACACTTACCTTCTGAAGGTAGTCCATCATATCCAATGATGACTTCCACTACTGCTTGTGGGTTCGCTGACGACTGTATAATCTGATGCGGGATGCACACTGTCTGCCGTTGAGGCCGGTCACTTCACCAGGCTACGTTCAGTCCTTTTTTCCTCGGCCAACTGCAATCCTTGATGGCAGAGGCCGGTCCACATCAACAGTCTGGAGGGAGGCAGGGTTTATCCCACACTTCTTTAGTGATATCTTCAGTTGGTCCTTTAGTCGCTTTTTCTGGCCACCTGAAGAGCGACGGCCCAGTTGTGGCTGTCCGTACAGTATATTTCGTGGCAGGCAATCCTCTGGCATCCGGATAGCATCGCGAGCCATCTAAGCTAGTGGTGTGGGATGGACTCCTCAGTGCTCCTGCAGTTGGTTCTCTGTAGGATCTCTGAGTGCGGAACACAATCCTGCCAGGTCACTTTCAAAATGCGCACCCCACCTCTGGACACTCTTAGTTGATGAGAGTAGACCCATCTGCTCTTCGGAGGGGACAGAGAAAGCAACTTCTTGGGCTGTGGGTGGTTTTCAGGGCATCATAAAAGTTGTGTATGTCATATCTGTCCACACAAGATTGGATTTCTTGTGCTTTGGCGATCCACCACTCATTTTGTAGATGTCGTAGAGCACTCTGTGCCTCCCTCCACTGCACTTGCCATTGCTTTTTGAGGGCTTCAGAAGTGGGGTTGTTGAGTGTGGCTTTATGTACCTTGTGTACGCTGTGGAAGGTACGTGGAGTTTTCGTCAAACCAGTTCTGATGTTTCTTGCTGCTGTAGCTGATGGAGTGGGCTGGTGATAGAGGGATGTGCTTAAGGAAGACCATTTGTCATCAATTGGACCTTCCTCAATCAGGAGGAGTTGTTCTGCTAGAGAGCGACGTAGGTTGTTACGTGCTTCTGTTTCCTGAAGTCGAGCACAGTTTTATTACTTTTTTGGTGGACTTCTTGAGGCGGATTCTGAGCTTGGTTAAGATCATCTGATGATCTGTCCAGCACACCGCTCCTCCCATGGCTCGCGTAATGAGAACACACACAGAGAATACTCCTCACATTACATTTACATTTTAGTCATTTAGCAGACGCTCTTATCCAGACTTACAGTTAGTGAGTGCATACATTTTCATACTGGCCCCCCGTGGGAAACGAACCCACAACCCTGGCGTTGCAAGCGCCATGCTCTACCAACTGAGCTACAGGGGACTTATGCATACAACCCTAACACAAACTCAACCCTGTCATGTCACATATTTAATGCAAATCAGCCCTATAATCAGTTTGACCCAAGTCTCTTACCTAATGCAACATGTATCCCTTCTCTTCTCCTTCCAGAGGACATCTTTATCCTCCATGATGGGAAGGACAAGAAGAACCCTCTGATCTACGGACTCTTTACCACATCCAGGTGATTCAGCCTCCGGCACAAAGTTCACCACAACCCCGCTGCCATTGGAACTTCATTCATTATTTTATTGTTTCCCATGGCTGATGTTATAATGGCTTATGTAGCTGTTATAAACCCTTTATGAATGCATACATAAGGGATGCGCGGGCTACAGTAATGTGTCATCAGATATATATGATAGGCTGTGTATCCCACTGAGGGATACAATGATATAAAGCAGTTATGAGACAGTGATCATTTTAACTCAAATCAAAACATGGCTATTGTCTTGGGCTGCATATTTCTGTTGCACATGTTTTGTGTTGTACAGTGTTTTATTCTGACAGTAGTTTGTATTCAGTCTGGTTTGGCTGCCTGGCGGGAGACAAGTGGCTAGAGTAATACATGCAGTGGGTTAAGAGAGAGGGAGAGCGTGTGTATATTTGCGTGTGTACTCCGTGTGTGTGTACTCCCCGTATTAGGCAATGGTGGAGAGATGGGAGAGGCTAGGTTGAGTTATTTTTCATAGGATCATACTTTCCAAACACAGTGACACCAAGCCTTAGCAGCAGAAATGTATGGTAATTCAGTAGTTCAAACCAGTTCATAAGAAAGCCTTTCTCTATATGACTCTATGGTCTATACTTTGATCCTTAATATGTTTCACATTAGAAGGGTCAAAGTCATTGTGTCTTTCTGTATTGTTTGTGTGTGTGTGTGTGTGTGTGTGTGTGTGTGTGTGTGTGTGTGTGTGTGTGTGTGTGTGTGTGTGTGTGAGAGAGAGCGATAAAGACAAAAAGAGAGACAAAGAGAGAGAGAAAGTGCATTGTCTGCAATGACACATTCTCTCTGAGTTCTGTGAATAGTGCAGAGGTTCAGAGAGGTTCTGGGAATAGACCAGTAAACTGGGCTCTGGGAGCGTGTGGGCTGAGGGCCAGGGGCCAAGGAGGTGGGGAGGGCTCTGAGGTTGACCCTATCCGGGGTGGGGTTTCACTTGTAAAATATACATTTAGAAATCTATAATCATGGAAACGGTGACATACAGTACTATAGTTCACTGCCAATGCCAGTATGATTGATGGTGGTAATGGAGCAGCCCTATGTTGACGACAGGCATTGGCTTCAGTGAATACTGATCTGATCTGGAATCAGGGTTGAGACACGGAAACTTTGACACACACCCCATCAGTATGTGACAGATGATAACAGACACACAACTGACAGGCTGTGTGAGTTTCATTGTGTTTGACAGTTGATTGACAGATAATAATGACTGACACACCATCTCTCTTCCCCAGTGACGTTCTGAACGGTTCGGCGGTGTGTGTGTACCGCATGCAGGATGTGGTAAGGGCCTTCAAGGGAAACTTCTACCACAAGGAGGGACCACAGTACAAGTGGGCCGAGTTCACAGGAAAGGTCCCCTACCCAAGACCTGGCACAGTAAGTTCTCTCCTAATGAGCTGTCATTCCCTGTCCATCATTACTCACCATTTTCTGATTCGTCATGTTATACTGAATGTAGCTGAAGACGAGGCTCTCTACCAGTCAAAGTTGAGGAATTCAAGCACTATCTTTGACCCAACTCTAGCTCAACAACAACTCTAATCCAAACGCCCAACTTTTTTCTTCTCAACCTTAACTTGATCCCAACATTAACCATGTCATGCCCAACTCTTTCCATGTCATTGAATGCTTGATGCCAATGCAGCTCTGTCTATCTCTCTCTCTCTCCCTTCAGTGTCCCAGCAGTACATACGGTAGCTACAGCTCCACCTGGGAGTACCCTGATGACGTCATCTTCTTCAGCCGTACCCACCCTCTGCTGCAGGAGGCAGTGCTGCCGCTGGGAGGGCGCCCTCTGTTGGTCAGGGTGGGAGTGCACTACAAATTCAGCCGACTGCTCGTGGACCGAGTAGAGGCAGTGGATGGACAGTATGACGTCCTCTTCATCGGCACAGGTGTGGGGATAGGTTTTGTGTGTGTGTGTGTATGTGTACAGTGAGGGAAAAAAGTATTTGATCCCCTGCTGATTTTGTACGTTTGCCCACTGACAAATAAATGATCAGTCTATAATTTTAATGGTAGGTTTATTTGAACAGTGAGAGACAGAATAACAACAACAAAAATCCAGAAAAACGCATGTCAAAAATGTTATAAATTGATTTGCATTTTAATGAAGGAAATAAGTATTTGACCCCTCTGCAAAACATGACTTAGTACTTGGTGGCAAAACCCTTGTTGGCAATCACAGAGGTCAGACTTTTCTTGTAGTTGGCCACCAGGTTTGCACACATCTCAGGAGGGATTTTGTCCTACTCCTCTTTGCAGATCTTCTCCAAGTCATTAAGGTTTCGAGGCTGACATTTGGCAACTCAAACCTTCAGCTCCCTCCATAGATTTTCTATGGGATTAAGGTCTGGAGACTGGCTAGGCCACTCCAGGACCTTAATGTGCTTCTTCTTGAGCTAGTCCTTTGTTGCCTTGGCCGTGTGTTTTGGGTCATTGTCATGCTGGAATACCCATCCACGACCCATTTTCAATGCCCTGGCTGAGGGAAGGAGGTTCTCACCCAAGATTTGACGGTACATGGCCCCGTCCATCGTCCCTTTGATGCGGTGAAGTTGTCCTGTCCCCTTAGCAGAAAAACACCCCCAAAGCATAATGTTTCCACCTCCATGTTTGACGGTGGGGATGGTGTTCTTGGGGTCATAGGCAGCATTCCTCCTCCTCCAAACACGGCGAGTTGAGTTGATGCCAAAGAGCTCAGTTTTGGTCTCATCTGACCACAACACTTTCACCCAGTTCTCCTCTGAATCATTCAGATGTTCATTGGCAAACTTCAGACGGGCATGTATATGTGCTTTCTTGAGCAGGGGGACCTTGCGGGCGCTGCAGGATTTCAGTCCTTCACTGCGTAGTGTGTTACCAATTGTTTTCTTGGTGACTATGGTCCCAGCTGCCTTGAGATCATTGACAAGATCCTCCCGTGTAGTTCTGGGCTGATTCCTCACCGTTCTCATGATCATTGCAACTCCACGAGGTGAGAACTTGCATGGAGCCCCAGGCCGAGGGAGATTGACAGTCATTTTGTGTTTCTTCCATTTGCGAATAATCGCACCAACTGTTGTCACCTTCTCACCAAGCTGCTTGCCGATGGTCTTGTAGCCCATTCCAGCCTTGTGTAGGTCTACAATCTTGTCCCTGACATCCTTGGAGAGCTCTTTGGTCTTGGCCATGGTGGAGAGTTTGGAATCTGATTGATTGATTGCTTCTGTGGATTGGTGTCTTTTATACAGGGAACAAACTGAGATTAGGAGCACTCCCTTTAAGAGTGTGCTCCTAATCTCAGCTCGTTACCTGTATAAAAGACACCTGGGAGCCAGACATATTTCTGATTGAGAGGGGGTCAAATACTTATTTCCCTCATTAAAATGCAAATCAATTTATGATGTTTTTGACATGCGTTTTTCTGCATTTTTTGGTTGTTATTCTGTCTCTCACTGTTCAAATAAACCTACCATTAAAATTATAGACTGATAATTTCTTTGTCAGTGGGCAAACGTACAAAATCAGCAGGGGATCAAATACTTTTTTCCCTCACTGTATGTGTGCATGCGCGTGCGTGAGTGTGTGTTTGAGTACAGTACAAGCAGGAGTGTCCTCTGTGTTGCAGACTCAGGCCAGGTGCTGAAGTCTATCCCCCTCCCTAAAGAACACGGTGTCACCCAAGAGGTAACCCTGGAGCAGCTGCAGGTCTTCCAGGTAAAATTTGTTGTATCCTTACTTTGACATATCTGTAGTTTATTCTGTCGTCTGGTTTACCATAACACCTTTTCCCCTCTCCCCCCACAGCACAAGTCACCTGTGACTACCATGACACTGTCCAAGAAAAAGGTAAGAATGACACACATATACCCCCCCCCCCGCCCCCAAACACACACACAGCTCCCCATCTTATATCTCCAATGTGAGCTTCATCACCAGTTGCTATGGTAACCACCGAGTGATGAGGACTCCCACTGGGCACAGACGTCAATTCAACGTCTATTCCATGTTAGTTCAATTTAATTTCATTGAAATGACCTGGAAACAACTTTGATTTAACCAGTGTGTGCCCAGTGGGCTGGCTAACATTGAGATGGTGAAACACACGTAAACATGCTCTGAAGCAGTCAGTCTCAGTCTTGTGTGAATGTGGAAAGTGTGAATCACCAAAGGCATGATTTCCTGAAATAACTGACGGTTGTGGCATCTGCTCTCTCAGCCATGTTATAATGATATGTCTTTCTTCTCTGTTTTCTTTTTCTGTATGTGTGTCTGTGTGTCTGTGTGTGTGTGTGTGTGTGTATGTGTGTGTGTGTGTGTGTGTGTGTGTGTGTGTGTGTGTGTGTGTGTGTGTGTGTGTGTGTGTGTGACTACAGCAGTGGCTGTTTGTGGGTTCTGCGGAGGGTGTGGCCCAGTTGGCTCTGTTCCAGTGTGAGCTGTACGGCCAGGCCTGCACTGAATGCTGCCTGGCTAGAGATCCCTACTGCACCTGGGACGGACACGCCTGCAGCCCCTTCATGCCCATCGCACGCAGGTGGGCCCGCTCAGCTCACACTCAATCCAGACTTATAATCCAACACTTACACTGTGTATCTAGCTAGCACTTCACACAGTTACAGTATAGAACTATAGTAGAAACTAAACATGAATAAACATGGTGTTTAAATATAGATGAAATTAAAGTTCTACCTTTAAGTCTATGACATGCCAGCTCACGCTCATTTACCCAGTACCCACTCATCCAATACATGTGCATGTAGCTATAGGCCTGCCCTACTTATAAATACTCACATTTAGTGCATACTCTTATCTAACATTATGTATTTTTTGGTTTCCTCTCTCTGAAGGAGGAACGCTCGTCAGGTTGGTGATGAGGAGGACCCTCTGACTCAGTGTGTCAGACAGGGAGGTGAGCAGGAACTGTCAGGAGCCACACCCCCACAGACATACACTAGCTTGGGTTTCTATGTAGAGCAGACCTTGTGACATTTTTCTCTGTCTCTGTTCAGCTGGTCTGCAAGTGAAATCAGAGCAGAGGATGATGATGGTTGCCGAGGGTAACAGCACCTATCTGGAGTGCATGCCCAAATCCAGACATGCAGCCGTCACCTGGTACAAACAGGCAGGAGAGAACAGCCCTGAGCTACATCAGGTACATACTGTATGAAAAGATATGCACTCACTAACTGTAAGTCACTCTGGATAAGAGTGTCTGCTAAATGACTAAAATGTAAATGTAAAATGTACTGACACACAGGCAGTTACACGCGCGCACACACACATGCACGCGCACACACACACATACACACACACACATATACACATACACACATACACATGAACATACACACCACACACACACACACACACACACACACACACACACACACACGAACACACACACACACACACACACACACTGGCCTACACATTCACAATCCTCTCTCTGTTGCAGTTGCAGTCAGGAGAGCAGCTTGTGGTGATAGAGAGAGGTGTTCTGATCCGTCGGGCCGAGATGGGTCACTCTGGCGTGTACCACTGTCAACTGGAGGAGCATGGCTTCCGCTGGACCACCGTCACCATCCGTCTGAGTGTGTGGAGCCCCTCCCGTGCCCTCTCCTGGTCCCCTAGCAACACCAACCCCAGTCCAGATGCCTCCCAGCCCTGGTACCAGGACGTCATGGCCCTCATCCACCCCAGCAGCCTGGAGAAGCACTGTCAGAGGCTGGGCTTCCGACAACGCCGCAACCGCAACCGCGACCAGGATAAGACCAAGGACAGCGACCACAAGACAGGGGATGGCCCCAGGGGCGAGAGGCACAAACATGGAGGCCGAGGAGGAGATGGAGGAGGAGGCAGGAGGAAGAGCAGAAGCAAACCCCAGCAGAGGTCTCCACGAAGTGCTTAGATGCTCTACTGCCTACGACATGCTTTCTCCTGACTTACACACTCAAACACTGTCTCACTCTCTCAAAGACACACACCTTTACAAAAACACATATTCATATCGAATGGGGACATAGGAGGTTCAGTGTGGGCTGGACTCAGAAATGTGAATATGATTGCGTAGCGTGTTGTATGAAGGATGCACAGCATGTCTAAGAGACTGGTGAGGAATATATTAAGGCATGAAGAGGACCTGGAAGAATGTGGTGTCTCATAAGACACAGTATGTGAACTTGTCTGAGGAACTGACTGGGTATAATGTACAGAGAATAAATGCCCTGAAGGTGAAGCTAGCTGGGATCTGTCCTAATGAAAGACAGAGAGGGAGTCAAAAGGACTCAAGCATGTGAGAGAGACTTAAGTGTCTCTGAGGCACAAAATGTGTGATTTGTCTTTGATGTTTAATGTAAAAAAAATATATATATGTTTAACTTTCTGTGTCGTATTTATTTCTGTTTTGAATAAAACAGTTAGTTTCAGTAGTTGTATAAGGTCTGTTTTATTTAGTAAATGCTCTGTGGTGTTCATCAGGCTTTCAACTCAAGCTTGACTCCTCATAACTAGCATCATTGATGCTGGGTGTGTTTGACATTAGTGCATCAGAGAAATGAAAAGTGGGAACTCTGAGTCAAACCAGCAAATCTGCCAAAATGAAATGCAGCAAAGCTAAAGCACTTTTAATGCTGTAGAAAAATAAACTTTAGTTTCATGTTCTGGAGCAGCTGCATAAAAGCAGAGAGAGACTGAGACATTTTTAATTGTGGTCAGACTTCTTTTATCGCCAGGAGACGGAACCAATACTGAGCAAGGTCCTTTTGTGTGTGTGTGCCTGTGTCTGTGTGTGTGTGTGTGTGTCTGTGTGTGTGTGTGTGTGTACTTTATTCACTACCATAAAGTATGATGGAACCCATAAAAAAAGTATTTTATAATAAAACATGTCATGTTTATGCTTTCCTCGAAGACCTTGATCAGATCCTTCCCTTATTCATTATGCGCTCATGAATTTTATTTTGTAGCCTATATTTATATCTCTGTGCCAGTATTTCTTTCATGTGATTTTCTAAATTGACTTTACAAATCAAATCAAAGGTTTTCAATTGACCTCTCCCAAGTTAAGGAGACACCCAGTGTAAATACTCAATTCTGCCAGTATGTTTTCATACTTTTCCTTTTTGTGGTATAGGAAACCTGTCCATCAACAATAGGAGACACACACGCACACATACACACAGCGTGCGGACAAATGATAGATCTGGAAGATTTATATCACCCATCTTTATTACTCCACATACACATAATCTATAATCGACCACTCACGTTTCAATATCGTCCAATACAAAATAATGCAGCTGACATTATCTTGCAGTAAATCCGCAAACATACAAAACATTAGGAACACCTTCCTAATATTGAGTTGCACCCCCTATTGCCTTCAGAACAGCTTCAATTCGTCTGGGCATGGACTCTACAAGGTGTCGAAAGTGTTCCACAGTGCTTCACACCGTTGTGTCAAGTTGGCTAGATGTCCTTTGGGTGGTGGACCATTCTTGATACACACGAGAAACTGTTGAGGGTTAAAAACTCAGCAGCGTTGCAGTTCTTGACACACTCAAACCGGTGCGCCTGTAACCTACTACCACACCCTGTTCAAAGGCACTTAAATATTTTGTCTTGCCCATTCACCCACTGAATGGCACACATTCACAATCCATGTCTCAATTGTCTCAAGACTTAAAAATCCTTCTTTAACCTGTCTCCTCCCCTTCATCTACAATCTACACTGATTGAAGTGGATTTAACAGGTGACATCAATAAGGGATCATAGCTTTCACCTGGATTCACCTGGTCAGTCTGTCATAGAAGTTAATAATGTTTTGTACACTCAGTGTATAAAATGAGTATATAAACAATGAAATAGCCAAGTGGGTCTGACAAACAGGATATCCCATTAGGTCTGAACTGAATGAAGGAAACCACACCTGAAAATGTTCAGTGCATTGTGTTGTTGGGATGGTGTGTGGCACAGCGAGTGGCATAGCGGTCTAAGGCACTGCATCTCAGTGCTAGAGACTTCACTACAGACCCTGGTTAGATTCCAGGCTGTATCACAATCCAGCTGTGATTGGGAGTCCCATAGGGCGACGCACAATTGGCCCAGCATCGTCTGGGTTTGGCCGGGGTAGGCCGTCATTGTAAATAAGTGTTTGTTCTTAACTGACCAGGTTAAATAAAAAATGGTTATGTTTGGGCAGATCTCAATCACCATGGTTCAGATGTAGTTGAACCTGCTCTCTGTCACATTTGCGGTCTGTAAGCTGCTCCAGCACAGGAGACCACATGGCTCAGGGCCTTTAGGTCTCCTCAAGTCCAACTGAGGCTTCATCTAAATGGTGGTGAGATAGCGTTTAAACATATGTTTACGTTTATGTTTAAGTTTACATCATTTAGCAGACGCTCTTATCCAGAGCGACTTACAAATTGGTGCATTCACCTTATAGGCAGTGGGATAACCACTTTACAATTATTATTATTATTACTATTTATCTTTTGGGGGGTGGGGTAAGGGGGGGGTAGAAGGATTACTTTATCCTATCCCAGGTATTCCTTAAAGAGGTGGGGTTTCAAGTGTCTCCGGAAGGTGGTGAGTGACTCCGCCGTCCTGGCGTCGTGAGGGAGCTTGTTCCACCATTGGGGTGCCAGAGCAGCGAACTGTTTTGACTGGGCTGAGCGGGAACTGTGCTTCCGCAGAGGTAGGGGGGCCAGCAGGCCAGAGGTGGATGAACGCAATGCCCTCGTTTGGGTGTAGGGACTGATCAGAGCCTGAAGGTACGGAGGTGCCGTTCCCCTCACAGCTCCGTAGGCAAGCACCATGGTCTTGTAGCAGATGCGAGCTTCAACTGGAAGCCAGTGGAGTGTGCGGAGGAGCGGGGTGACGTGAGCGAACATGGGAAGGTTGAACACCAGATGGGCTGCGGCATTCTGGATGAGTTGTAGGGGTTTAATGGCACAGGCAGGGAGCCCAGCCAACAGCGAGTTGCAGTAATCCAGACGGGAAATGACAAGTGCCTGGATTAGGACCTGTGCCGCTTTCTGTGTAAGGTAGGGTCGTATTCTGCGAATGTTGTAGAGCATGAACCTACAGGATCGGGTCACTGCCTTGATGTTAGCGGAGAATGACAGGGTGTTGTCCAGGGTCAAGGCAAGGCTTTTTCAACTCTGGGAGGAGGATACAATGGAGTTGTCAACCGTGATGGCGAGATCATGGAACGGGCAGTCCTTCCCCGGGAGGAAGAGCAGCTCCGTCTTGCCGAGGTTCAGCTTGAGGTGGTGATCTGTCATCCACACTGATATGTCTGCCAGACATGCAGAGATGCGATTCGCCACCTGTTTATCAGAAGGGGGAAAGGAGAAGATTAGTTGTGTGTCGTCTGCGTAGCAATGATAGAAGAGGCCATGTGAGGATATGACAGAGCCAAGTGACTTGGTGCATAGCGAGAACAGGAGAGGGCCTAGAACTGAGCCCTGGGGGACACCAGTGGTGAGAGCACGTGGTGCGGAGACAGACACATATGGTGTGTATATTGTGTGTGTTGCCCTAGATACCAGTGTCCTCTAAACAGATGAACGTACAATTGACAATGTTGGCTTAATATTTGAACACAAGCGAATGTATTATGTGACATAGAAAACAAATACTTTTTGTGTGAAGAATTACCTCAGAGTCCTTGGGCCCTATGAGTTAGGGCTTGTAGCTTAGGGTTATAGCTGTGCAGACATATATCCCCAGGGATAGTCTGTGTGTTCTGTATCTGCTCTGCCTCTCCCATCTTGGACATCACAATATTGTAGCAGAGAGGAGCATGGGTGGGGCTCTCACAGCACAGTTTACACACTCATGGCCATGTGGCGAATACTGTAGCTCGGTGACGTCAGAAGTTATAGGCAATGGTCTCTGTCTCCCTCTGTGGGAAAGAGAGATAAGTGCATGGAGAACTCAGGTAAAGATGCAGCCACTGGAGGCATAGCTCATAAGTACACAGATATGATTTACTGTGTTTGATTAAATTCCATTTAATACAACTTCATTCTGAAATTATTCAGTAATACAAATTATTATAGGTTTGATTATATTTATGAAACATCACATCATTCTCACTACTGCATATAATCATAATGTCAGACATTTACAGTGGTGAGCTAGACCTACCAGTTTTTCTATCATTATGCGGAACTATTGCGTTCTCTAATTCAGGTTGTAGGGGAAAATATACAGAGCGGACTCGACTCAAGTTCATGGTTGACTCTACATCTCTAGGAAAGAATTACACTGGTAAGTGTTTATTTATTTGATTATGCTAAAAACGGGCAAATATTTTATTTTCCTGAAAGTAAGTCGTAGAAATAAGTATTCCCACACATTACTAGGTGATGGTTACTCTTGACACGGAGTAACAAAGGAACTGAAAACAAGATAACATTCCGAGGCCTGGCTGCTAGCATCGACAGCTAGCTAGCTAACGGTAGTTTGCCAGCTAACGTCATCTGACTGATGAGTAAACTGCTAGTTTATGACTGATGAAAGCAATATGTCAACTTGCTTGCTAGATGTTGGGACCATTCTTTATGATTTTTACATCTTTAGTCTGATAGTTCGTATTGCTCATTGTTTTACAGACTCCTGCTGCGATTAAACGTTAGTTGATTAAACGTTAGTTAACTAGCCGTAACGTTAACTAATCACGCTGACAGCTTGTCAGAAGATACAGGCCCTACCGTTACGCTTGTTTACACTGAGCTGCACTGGGGTTGGAACGCAATCATGGTTACATTTTGCCAGAAGATACTACCCTACCATTACGTTTGTTTACACTGAGCTCGGAACACAATCATGGTTACATTACCCTGCCCTGAACTTAGTCACTGTTACTAGCCGGCTACCACCCGGTACTCTACCTTCCACCGTAGAAACTGCTGCCCTATGAGTTGTAGGGGTTTAATGGCACAGGCAGGGAGCCCAG